CAGTCGAAGGAGTAAAGTCAAGCTCTTATATGCCAATGAGCTTGAGCAGATCGGCTGGGCGAGCAAGACAGTTTTTCGATCCGCGGGTCGAGAGCGCACCTCTTCGTGTCGAAGCTAAGCGGGCCGCGCCGAGCTTGAATTACGCAGAGAAGGGGGGACAGAAGGAGAGGCCTCACGTCAAGGCCAGGAGGAGGCAAAGCCTCGGGATCAGGCGGTGCCGAAGACGATGTGTTTGCAAAGGAACGCCTTGGACAGGAACCCGGTGGCGAAGTACCGGGAGAGGCAAAATGCTGTGGGCGAGCAAGACAGGCAGGGAGACGATGACCGGAAGCGCGAGCGGCAAGCCTGACGCAGCGGGCGACGAGGAAGGGCGGGATCCGCGAGGGGGACGGGGAGGGGTCATCGTGTGACGAGGAGGAGAAAAGGGGGGGGGGAAGAACAAGGGCAGGCGGACACGCGCCAAACATTGCAGTGGCAATAGTACGGCGGAGCCTGGGGTGCTGTCTGTCCGCGGCGCCCCTCGTCCGAGGGCGCTCCGGGCGTGCGCCGGCAGCGTGCCCCGCCTCGGCCGCGCTGGGAGGCCCGAGCTACAGTTTGGCGGCCCGGGCGGCAGAGAGCCGTCCCCCCCTGGCGACGCTCGGGGGGGGGGGGACAGGCACTGGGGCACATGGAGGCTCATGGGGGGCGAAGGAGGAGGAGGAGGAGGAGGAGGAGGAGGAGGAGGAGGAGGAGGAGGAGGAGGAGGAGGAGGAGGAGGAGGAGGAGGAGGAGGAGGAGCAGGAGGAGGAGGAGGAGGAGGAGGAGGAGGAGGAGGGAGGAGAGGAGGGGAGGAGGAGGAGGAGGAGGAGGAGGAGCAGGAGGAGGAGGAGGAGGAGGAAGGTTCTGGGTCACCGGGCGTCCTCGCCAGTTCTCGGCCACTCTGCAGCCTCGGGGCGCGTGCCAGCAGCCGCGCCTCGCCGCGAGAGGGCGCCCTGGGGCCGCCGGGATCGCCCCGAGCTGCCGCCGGAGAGGGCCGAGCTGGGACCCGAGGGCCACCAGGGAGAGGGCTGGGCGCGTCGATCCCCAATCGCCCATTCATGGCCGGTGGCGGGCCTGCCAGCCCACCCCAGCTAGGATTGCCACGTGCAGGCGGCCCGGAGTAGTAGGTCGGCCCTGCCAGGTCAGGGGCACGCTCGTGTCCTGTGGCTGGCGACCCATGCCTCCTGCAGGTCTGTGGCAACGTGGCCCTCGGAAGGGTCTTGTGTCCTCTCGCGTGTCCTCTCCAATCGAGTCCGACTGTGGCTTGCAGGGCGCATCTGGCACCATTGCACCACGTAAGTCGCATTGATTACGCCATGCACATGTCATCGCACAGGTTGCACCGTACACATCATATGGCACCATGCATGCTGCACATCGAGAGGGCAAGGCCCCAGCCTTTGGGACCCCTGCTGGAAGACGTATATGTTGACCCATCTGGATTTAGGTGCTTGGCCGCATCTGACCAGGCCTTTTGGCACTCTTCTTTGACAGGCCATGGGGATACTGAGGAGGGAAAGGGTGGCATGTAGACGAGAGAGACCGGCGAGGAGTGTGTCTCTGGACGTCCCTGGGTGCCTCCAGGGGTCTCCTCTGGAGGCCTTAAGGGATTCCCAGAGGCCTCCCAGAGGCCTCCGGAGGCTTCCTTGGGGCCTCGGGGGTCCAAAGAGAGACATTCGCGTCCACCATCGGAGGGGGGGTAGGGCGAAGTGGAAGTCAGAATCCTGTCCCCAGTCCCCTACCAGGGTCTGTCCTGGGCAGGCTTTCGAAGTGCGCCCAGCCGTGGCGACGAGAACCTTGCAGGAACGCTGAGCATGTCGAGACGAAGGCGCCGTCCTGGGCGTCGAGGAGGAGGTGGACCAGTGCAAACCCAAGACGCATCAACGATATTGGAAGAAGTTGTCCCTCCTCTTCCTGGGGCCCTACAAGAGATTTCTTTCATTACAGGAAGCGGCTCGTTGACTGACAGCCGTCCGAATAACTCAGAAAAGGAAGGACTCTACAGCCCCAGACGCCCACGAGGGGAGATGCCTCGCCAGGAAAGGACAAATACCATATTGCAATGTGTTTTGCACCAGACATTTGATAGGATTCGGGCACTCCTCACATGTCGAAAGTGTTTGGGAATCCTAAACCGTGCCATGGCACCATTCCTGGAACTTCAACACCGCGAGTCAACGTGATTGTTGCGTCCTGACAGTCCTGATCGTGCCAGGACTCCGCTCCTCGGGCATCAACTCCGCGAATCCACGTGACTGTTGCGTCCCGACTCCTGGGAGCTTTCGACCTTACGAATGTTCGGAAGTACTGCAAGTTTGAGGACGGATGTGCGCGGCGCCAAGGCGAGAGCCATATGTGAAAAAGGAGCCGGCCTCCATCCTTGAAGCTGCTGCAAACCAAACTTTTAAGACGAGAACGCATGGCGCAGTGGCGAGAGCTCCGCTTTGAGAGCAACCCGGCCTCCGTCCTCGAAGCTGCTGCCAACTGTCAGGGCGAATGTGAGCGGTGCCAAGGCAGAGCTCAATTTTGAAAACGGCCCGCCCTGCTTCTTTGAGAAGGGAAAGAAACACACAGACACAATTCATCCTCGACTCCCAGGGAAATATGGGAAAACATGGGCAGTGGGGGGGAAGACAATCTGGGCAAATATGGGGAATCTGGTTATTTGTGTCTATTTATTTGTGTGTCCCAGTTCCCCTTCATTCTTTGAGGTTGATGCACGCTTTTAAGACGAAGGTGCACGGCGCTAAGGCGAGAACTCCATTTTGAACATGGTCTGCCCTTCATCTCTAAAACTGTTGCAAACTTGAGGATACGAATGTGCGCGGCGCTAAGGCGAGAGCTCCATTTTGGAGTCGGTCCGCCCTTCTTTTTCTAAGCTGCTGCTGATTTCATGCTTCAGGATCATGCGGTGTGAGGGTTTCTCAGGCGAAACTCCCAGTCTGGCCTACGGACAAATCAAGGGGTGCGACAGGGAGGAGTAATTTGCAAGGAAATGGGATCGAGGAGGAGGAGGAATATATCCTGATGGTTATGATGATTCGATATGTTTGAGGGTGAGAAGGAAACGCCGGTATACCAATGACAATTTTACGAGTATGCCCAAAAAGGAACAGACAGGATGAGGATATCAGTCACAATCGCAGGACGGGACTAGGAGGAGGGATGTGGAGGAGGAGACGGGGGAGTTAGGCTGCATCTCCCGGCAGCCTGTGTGCAGCATCGGCTTGTATATTCGTGGTCGAACACCGGCCTAATCCAGCATCGTCCCGCTTGATCCCACTGAACCCCGCTTCATCCCGCTTCGTCCAGCTCAGTCCTGGGCCTACTCCAGCTCAATCCGGCTTAGTGACCCCCTCCTCGGGCTCCGCATCCCTGTAGTATTTCTTGCGCAGGCCTCCCAGGATCTGCCTTCGACGACTAGGAGGAGGATCGGGAGGCTGCTGCTGCTGCTGCTGCTGCTGCGGAGGAGGAGGAGGAGGAGGAGGAGGAGGAGGAGGAGGAGGAGGAGGAGGACGAGGAGGCTCGAGGACGAGGAGGAGGAGGAGGATGAGCCCTCGAGGCAGCCGGGGCACGAGGAGGATCCGCAGCGGCGCCCCAGGCGCAGATCCCCTTGGGCGGCACGACGCCGCTGGCGCCCTCCTGCAAACAGGCCGCGCGACGAGAGCCGCGCGGCCCCGGCCACCCGCGGAGAGCACTGGGAGCGGGCCGGTGCGCGGGGCCCAGGCCTTGAGGCCCCTTCGAGGCCCTGCCTCGGTGCTCTTCGCACGCCCTCCCCCTCGAGGAGGAGGATCGAGGAGGAGGAGGAGGATCGAGGAGGAGGAGGAGGAGGAGGAGGAGGAGGAGGAGGAGGAGGAGGAGGAGGAGGAAGCGAGGATCGAGGATCGATGTATCGAGGAATCGAGGAATCGAGGATCGAGGATCGAGGATCGAGGATCGAGGAGGAGGAGGAGGAGGAGGAGGAGGAGGAGGAGGAGGATGCGAGGATCGAGGATCGCGGATCGAGGATCGAGGATCGAGGAGGAGGACCGAGGCCCGGTCGGGAGCCGTTTGGCGGCGCGTCGCTCTGCCAGTTCGGGCCTGCAGGAGTTCCTGCCCCTTGCGTGCGCGGCGCTGGCAGCCCGCTGCCGAGCGTCGGCTGCGCAGAACGTGCGGCTGCGAGTCATCGGATGCAGGCGTGCAGCCTCCAACGCAAGGGACCGGCTCACGAAAGAGGGCCACCGAGGGACCGGAGGTGTCAACACATATCATCCCCCCCCCCGCTGCGCCTCGCGGCCCTCTCTCCCTCCTCTCCCTCGTGGCCGGTGCCTCGCCCGGTGGAGTCCCCTTTCCCTCAGTGGGGACGCTGGCAACTTCCATCATCGCGCATTCACGGCATGAGGAAAGAAACAAGAAAGAAGCCACAGAGGGACCCGCAAAGCTCGATGATCCAGGGACCATATGGTGGAGCACGGCGGGAGACCCCGCGGCCAGGACGCATTTGTAAAACAGGTTAACGCCGGTCCCAACTCTTGTGGGACCCCGCGCCCCGCACGGTCCGCCTTTGGTGCAGGTTCTGCCTTCGGTCGGCCAAAGCCTACGCCTACGCCCTCCATGTTGCGCTACGGCCCATCAGGGGCCGCAGCGTATACCACGCAAGAGCCCACGCCAGGCTTGTTGGTATACGCTAAGCCCAGTAGGGCCGTAGGCGGGGTGGTGTCGTTAGTTTTCTGGTCCATTCGGTGAGCTCGTCGACGGGGAAGACCTCTGGAGGTGCCAGGCGCGCAGGCGGGATCAGGCGCTGGGTGGGCCGCGGAAGGCGAACAAGCAGGCCTGGTGGACCCCGGCTGCACCGCCGACGGCGCGGCACGCGTGCGTCCCCGCAGGGCCGCGACACAAACCCCTCCCACGTTCCACGGCGTGCCCGTGGATGCGGTCGGGAACGTCTGGACAGAGCGTCGCTCGGCCGGCTCGGGCCCACCACGCTTCGGCGCGGCACGCCATCCTAAAACAGGGCTAGGATCGGGATAAATCGCTCTCAGAGCGTTCCGGAGCGCTCTCAGAGCGTGCCGGAACGCTCTGGAGCGGCCGCGGCGCCCAATACATCCCCCAAGCCCGCCGATTCTCAACGACTTCGAATCATCCCGATCCGGTGTTGTCCCGATCTTCGCGTCGTTTTGCATCCACGCTTCTCCGCCCCCCGGGCGGCGGCGCCCCGGCCCCCGAGCGCTCCTTGTCCGACCCCCCCCCCCGCCCCGCGGAGCGGAGGCGCCCAGCGTGTGCCGCTGGGGCCGCCCTGGCGGCACGCTGTACTCCGGCGGCCAGCCCCAGGGGGCAAGTGCGAGGGGGCGGGCCTTCTCAGAATCGGAGGAGGGAGAGGTACCCCGTACCTCTCTCTACACTTTCCTCGCTCAGGCTCGCTAGCACTGGACTGTGGACCTCGGTGAGCTGCGGTGCGCCGTCGGGGAGATCGCAAACAAACACAACCCTTTTCGGGCCTCCTCGGAGGCCCTCGTCGCCACCGCTGGATTCGCCTTCGCCCCCCAATTCCGGTCAGAACGCACCCCGGGAGAGGTCCGGGGAGTACGTGTATCGGTACCTTTTAGCCTTCGGCCTTCTGAGAAGTTTTCAAAGCCGTCCCCGAAGACGCAGAGAACTTCTCAGGAGGTCGGAGGGCTTCTGAGAAGTCCCTCCGCCTTCTGAGAATGCCTTCCCCTTCTCACTTCCCCCACTCGCTCGCCGCCGAATAGTTCCCGACCGTACAGGGTCCCAGATCTTCGACGATATGACCTGTTCACTCCTGCTGGCCTTTTTCATGGGTTTTGGCCTCATGGGATCCGTCCTCTGTCTCTGGAGCCGTAGGAGGAACATGGAGCTGGGACGAAGCGCTGCCCCCCCTCGGGCAAGGGGGTCGTGAGCTTTGGGGCCTAACAGTGGAAACAAAACGCATCGTCGGACGTGTGGGCTTGAGGTCTTTGCAGGTTCTCTGACGCTTTTGGCTCCTGGTGGGCCTCCCGGCTGCTTCTCATCATTCGAGCAGGGGGTCGACTGCAGAATTGATTTGCCCTAAACTTGATGTTCCCGCCGGGTCCGCGAAACATGCGCATGATGCTCGTATATCTACTGAGCATCGTTTGCCGTGAACTCGGCGGGGGAGTTACGTCTAGGGTAAGTCAATTCTGCAGTCGACCCCTCCGCGACTCTCATCGCCGTGGCCAGCTCCGCCTCCGACGGTCCGATTCACAGGGAGCGCGGGGGCACGTAGAGCAGAACCCGGTCCTGGCAGCGCGGCGGTGACCTCCCCGGGGCTTCTGGGGGCTGCGGGGCGGAGGCACCACGGCAGGGGGGGGGTCTTGGGTTCGAGGATGGGGGCTCGAGGAGCGAGGTCCTCGAGAACTGTTCGGCTCTTGTCGGGCCTCTGGAGTCTGTTTCTTCATTGCTTTGGCCGCAACGAGCGTTATGCCCCCCCCCCCGCCCCCCCCCCCTCAATAATTAGCCACAGGCACTGCCGCCGTGCGCACAGTGATCCGCACAGGAATCCGAAACGAATCCGGACAGGCGTCCGCACAGGAAGCCGCCTAGGGATCCGCACGGGGATCGCAGAGGGATGCCCATGGGGATCCGCATAGGCATCCGCATTGGGATTTCCAGGCATCTTCTTTGAGATCCGCAGAGAAATCTGCATAGGAATCCTTATAGGGATCCGCGTGGGCGTCCGCATAGGGATCCCTAGAGGCATCCGCGTAAGGACCCGCATAGGGAACCGCATAGGGATCCGCATGGGGATCCGTATTGCAGTTCGCATAGGGATCCGCATAGGCATCCGTACAGGCCTCCGCATAAGGATGCGCTGTGGGATCCCCGGGGGAGTCCGCATGGGGATCCGCGTCGAGATCCGCATAGGGGCGGTGGTCGCGGGCAAGTTGCGGTGCTCTCAGGCACCTGTGGTGTGCGTAGGAGAGAGAGAGAGAGAGAGAGAGAGAGAGAGGGAGCGAGAGCAAGGAAGAGAAGAACGACGACGGCAACGACGACGACCACAAGGAGGATGGAGGAGGGAGGTAAGGAGCATACCTCTTAAACGCCTCGTGGAGGCAACGACGCCGTCGCAGACATGTGCTCGCCACAATTCCTCGTCGCTTTTCGTTGTCGGTTGTCGTCGTCGTCGTCGTCGTCGCTCGTCGCTCGTCGTTGTCGGTCGTCGCTCGTCGTTGTCGATCGCCGTCGTCGTCGCCAACGTGGTCGCTCGTCGTCGCTCATCGTCATCGTCGTCGTCGTTGTCGGTCGTCATCGCTCGCGGTCGCTCGTCGTTGTCAAACGCCTTCGAACGCTTCCGAGGGCCTCTGAAGGCCTTCGGATGACCTCAGGAAGGCCTCTTGGAGGCTTCCAGGGGCCTCAGGAGGCCTCCAGAGGCCTCCGGAAACCTCCGGAGACCTCCGGAGGCGTCGTTCCTTGTCGTCGCCGTTTTCGTCCTCACTCCTCGTCGTCGTGGTCGCTCGTCGTCGTCGTCGCTCGTCGTCGCCGCCGCCGCGGCCGTCGTCGTCGTCGTCGTCGTCTTCGTCGTCGTCGTCGTCGTCGTCGTCGCTCGTCGTCGTTGTCGTCGTCGTCGTTGTCGTCGCCGTCGTCGTCGTCGTCTTCGTCGTCGTCATCTTCGTCGTCGTCGTCGTCGCGTCATCGTCGCCTGTCGTCGTCGCTCGTCGTCGTCGTCGTCGCCGTCATCGTCGTGCGCGCGGACGCTGTGGTGGCGCGGGATCCTCACGGGGGGGGTGCGTTACGTTCCCCCCCCCCCGGGCCCCCCCATAACGCCCGTCTTATCGCCGCGAATGGAGACACGCGCTCCTGGGAGTCTTCCATCACGACGGCTGGCTCCACCTCGAAGTTCTGGCTGGAGCCTACCCTTGGACGAGGCCATGAGTTCCATTTTGTGGAGGCTCAGACCTGCAGCGTCTTGAAACAGCATACGATTGAGGTTATCCGATGCTTTGGCTTCCCCTCAGACTCGACATCGTATGAAAACCTGTCTCCGGGACCGGGCGAGAGCTCTATAGGACCCGAGTATTGAACAAACAAGAGCAACATCGGAGGGTTGGGAACGACCGTGTATTGTGTGTATCTGGACCTCCTACGTCGGCTTCGGCACCGCCTGATTCCGTGGCTTTGCCTCCTTCCGGCCTCGTTCTGAGGCTGCGCCCCCTTTTCCTCCCCCATCTCTGGTTAATTCAAGCTTCGCGCGGCCCGCTTAGCTTCGACCGAAAGAGATGCGCTCTCGACCCGCGAATCAAAAGTGTATCTGGACCTCCCAGGAGGAGGCCAGCACGTCCCGCGACCCGTTCCAGTTTCAGATTCGGCCCCCGGCTGCAGCCCAGGGCGTCGAGGTCGAAGATCTGCATCCATGGGGCTCGGCAGTGGAAGGAGCTCGCGGCGGTGGACCTCGATGCCTCGCGTCGACGGGGTCCGGAGGAGGAGGAGGAGGAGGAGGAGGAGGAGGAGGAGGAGGAGGAGGAGGAGGAGGAGGAGGGGGAGGGGATGGGGGAGGGGGAGGGGGAGGAGCAGGAGGAGGAGAGGAGGGGGAGGGGGAGGGGGAGGGGGAGGGGGCGGGGAGGAGGAGGAGGAGGAGGAGGAGGAGGAGGAGGAGGAGGAGGAGGAGGGAGGAGGAGGAGGAGGAGGAGGAGGAGGAGGAGGAGGATTTGGAGGGGGAGGAGGAGGAGGGGTCGGACGGGGTCTGGACAAGGCAGCGGGCGGCCCTCCCCTTTCTCCCGGAGGAGCCTCGGTTTGGGGGTCGACTTCCTCGGGGCCTGCCCGTGCTCCTCCTGACCTGCGCGCGCTGTGCTCTGTCAGGAGGGAGAACACACACACAGACACAATGAATCGTGGATTTCCAGGAACACATGGGGAAATATGGGAAGTGGGAGGGAAGACAAAAGCCCAGGAAATTTGGGAAACTATGGGGAGTCTTTTTAATTTGTGTGTATTTCTTTGTGTGTCCTGGGGCCCCTTTCACTCTGGGCAGGCGAGGAGGCGGATCTCGACCGATGCGCGGGGGCTCCTCCCGCCCACTTGTGGCTTCTCTCGGCTCCCTCGGGGAGAGGTGCGAACATTGGAGGCTGACCGCGACTGTGCTTCCAGCATTGCATCTGCGGCGTGGCTCGGAGGAGCTGCGCTCGGCACGGATGGATGTGGAGGCGATTGGCGAGTTGAGTGTAAAGGTTCCCCCGACGAGGCTAAGCATGAGCGGCCTCAGGGGCCAGGCCCTTGTCTTTTCGAGTTAGTTCCCGAGCCGCAGGGTCATGCCGTTGCATGAGTAGCCTAATCCTCGCATCGGTGTCGGCACTGGCGAGCGGGGGAAAGCCTGCACTGCTGTATCTGCGTTCCCTGGGGCCTAGGGCTGTGATCACAAATCACCGTTCCCGCAGGATGTGGCTGATTTGGTGGCGTGACGGGGTCGGGTGGTGACTTTGCTGCGGGTTTATTGGCAGCAACAAATCGGCACCTCTGTCCTTGAACACCTTCCTGTGCCGTCTTTCGTCGCTTTACAGCAGGCGCGCCAGCGGTAACCCACGGCATCGCCGCAAACATGGGCAAACATGAGAATGGATGAGGAGGAGCAGAGGGAGAAGGATGAGGATGATGATGATGAGGAGGATGAGGAGGCGGAGGAGGAGGAGGAGGAGGAGGAGGAGGAGGAGGAGGAGGAGGAGGAGGGTGGGCGGGCGGGCGGGCGGGCGGGCAGGCGGGCAGGCGGGAGGGACGGCGGGTGGGAGGGAGGGAGGGAGGGAGAGAGGCAGGGAGGAAGGGAGGGAGCAGGAGGAAGCAGCAACTGATTCGCGAATCTGAGCGAACAGACCCGAGCGAGACGGAAGAAGGTGGATCCACCACTCCCCAGTGGGGAGACAGCGAAGGGCGACAGCCCTAATAATGATCTGCATACCCGAAGCCGATGCCGACTCCGCACCGCTGCCTCGACGACGGCAACCGCGCCCGCCATGGGAGCTCCTTGAGGCTTTGAGACCGCCGCGAGGGGGCGCAGAGCCGTGCGATCGCTTAAGCCACAAACATTGCGACTGGCGAGGAGGATGGAGGAGGAGGAGGAGGCGGAGGAGGAGGAGGAGGAGGAGGAGGAGGAGGAGGAGGAGGATTTGGAGGGGGAGGAGAAGGCGGAGGAGGATGATGAGAGGAGGAGGAATAGGAGGAGGAGAGGCGGAGGAGGGAGGCGGAGAGGAGGAGGAATAGGAGGAGGAGGAGGCGGAGGAGGAGGAGGCGGAGGAGGAGGAGGCGGAGGAGGAGGAAGTGGAGGAGGAGGAGGAGGAGGAGGAGGAGGAGTAGGAGGAGAAGGAGGCGGACGAGGAGGAGGAAGAAGGAGGAGGAGGAGAGGAGGAGGAGGAGGAGAGGTGGAGGAGGAGGAGGAGGCGGAGGGGGAGGAGGAGGAGCAGGAGGAGGAGGAGAGAGAGGGAGGAGGGAGGAGGAGGAGGGAGGAGGAGGAGGGAGGAGGAGGATGAGGAGGAGGAGGAGGAGGCGGAGGAGGAGGAGGAGGAGGAGGAGGAGGTGAAGCAGGAGGAGGAGGATGAGGCGGAGGAGGAGGAGAAGGAGGAAGATGAGGAGGAGGATGAGGTGGAGGAGGATCTGGATGGGGAGGAGGAGGCGGAGGATGACGAGGAGGAGGCAGATGATGATGGTGATGATGGTGATGATGATGATGATGATGCTGATGCTGATGATGATGATGATGCTGATGATGATGTTTGTGCTGATGATGATGTTTGTGATGATGATGCTGATGCTGATAATGATGATGCTGATGATGATGCTGATGATGATGCTGCTGCTGATGATGATGCTGATGAAGATGCTGATGATGATGCTGATGATGATAATGATGATGATGCTGGTGATGATGATGCTGCTGATGATGATGATGACGATGATGATGATTATGATGATGATGATGATGATGCTGATGGCGATGATGATGATGCTGATGCTGATGCTGATGATGATGATAATGATGATGATGATGATGGTGATGCTGCTGTTGATGATGATGCTGATGAAGATGATGATGACGACGATGATGATGATGCTGATGATGATGATTATGCTGCTGATAATGATGATTATTCTGCTGATGATTATGATGATGATGTTGATGCTTATGCTGATGATGATGCTGATGATGACGATGATGATGATGATGCTGATGATGATGATGATGAATAT